CACTCTTTCACATATAGAAGTAGAATTTATCATTAAAAGAATCTTCCATTCCACTAATCTTTTTATTACTTAAGAATCAAGATATGTGTGATAAGGTGGCTTCATGTAAGGCAACTTGTGTTAGGCAGCCTCTCAGAAGGCCCCAATAACCCCTGATTTCTTGTGTAATCCCCTTGCTTTTAAGTGTGGGCTGGATTTAGTGACTTGCTTCTAATAAGTTGTATATAACAGAAGTGATGGGATGTGACTTCCAATTGTATATAACAGAAGATTGGATTATTAAAAACAAACAAGAACAAAACCTTTATGGCTTCTATCTTATAACTTTTCTCTCCCACTTACTGGCTTTTCCCTCCCCTCCCCTTCTCCCTCCCTACCTCTCCACTTCTCTCCACCCCTCTCTCCCTCCCTCCCTCTCTCTCTCTCTCTCTCTCTCTACACACACACACACACACACACACACACACACACACACACACACACACACACACACACACACACACACACACCCCGCCCCATCACCTATAGAAGAGACCACTTGAAGAAGAGAGGCCCCGAAGGATCAGTGCTGCATAGAGGAGAACCGAGGCACCCCAGCCAACAGCCAGCACAAACGATCAACCAAGTGAGTGCACCGTCTTGGAAGCAAACTCTAGCACAATTAAGGCTTCAAATAACGTAGCCACGGCCAACAGCTTGGGTATAACCCCATGACAGACCCAGGTGGTCAGAATCACCCAGCTAAGTCATTTCTGAATTCTTGGTCTAGAGAAACTGTGAGATAATACATGTTTGTTCTTTTAAGCCACTAAGGTTTGGGGTAATTAGTTACACAGCAAGAGATGACCAATGTATAATCCAAGGATGTGATTCTTGAGAATAGTATTATGAGAATGAATGGATTCAGAATCTCATGCTTTATACTTAGAATATTTGAATTGGACTAGAAGAATATGGTGACGTCATATTAACACTTTATCATGAAGAAACAATAAATTTGATGCTCCTTTTAGTTCAATGAGGTTACAGAGTTTGTTTGCTTTTTTCCTGAGATCTACTGAGTCCACTGAATCAATATAAATACTTCAAACTTTATTGAAACTCCATTTTTAGCAATGTATTAGTTATAAGCAATTAAAAAAATGGTAGCCTTACCTCCAAAAAAGTACTTCTCGCCAGTTTTAACTTGAAGAGGACTGTTAGTTCGCACTGCTGAGGCTTCATCTCCATCGATAGTGAGAATAACAAAATTCTCCTTAGCTAGGAAACGGACTTCATGCCACTGGCCGTCATTCAACCCAGAACCTGTTAGATATAAGAGAAAAGGCCATTTCTTTTCTTAAGATGATTCAGTTTAAAATAATTTTTAATAACAACAGTCAGAGCTTTGTAAGTAAAAATTAATATACTTTCATCTAGGAAAATTCAGTGTGGCTACAATTAATATCTCATCTTCTTTAATATTATAAGTAGTTCTATCCTCCACCAGACCAAATACGGCATAACATAACCCAATCAAGTAGGGACATAATGTGCCATCGGGGTACATGAAAAAATGGAGTGAATTAAGTTGTTTGGGAGATGATGATGAACTATTTTAATTTAATAACTTATTTTCTAGTTAGCTTTACTAGACTTCACTCTCAGATGAGAAAAAGGATTTGTAATTTTATCTAATGTCACTCTCTGTTTTTAAAAACTATTTTTTGTACTGTCATTGTCTCTCAATAGCCACATCTGGCAAGTATAGCTAATAGAAATGAAGGACTAAAGAATAAACGTGTGAGTATGTGCAGTGAAGGGGAGAAGAATATGCCACCCCAACATATGCTATTTCAGCACACTGATTATTTTGAATTAAAGTTAAACAGCAAGTACAGTAAGGATACTCTGACCCTCCTTTGTCCCTCTGAAAGCAGGAAACAAATCTCTCATGTGAAAGGTACCCTCCCTGTACCATGTTACTTCTTCACTAATCTACTACCCCAAACCCAAAACTTTGGGTTACCAAAGTTACCCCAAAACTTCTTTGTCCTGTTAATTCTTTACAAAATTCATCTTTTTCTTCGGCTAAAAGGTATAAAATCTGCCTACATTGGTCACTTCTTTGAGTCTCATATTTCGGAGAGGTACCATATGTACAAAATTATATTTGTTTTGGGCTTCCCTGGTGGCGCAATGGTTGGGAGTCCGCCTGCCAATGCAGGGGACACGGGTTCATGCCCCAGTCTGGGAAGATCCCACATGCCGCGGAGCGGCTGGGCCCGTGAGCCATGGCCGCTGAGCCTGCGCGACCGGAGCCTGTGCTCCGCAATGGGAGAGGCCACAACAGTGAGAGGCCCCTGTACTGCAAAAAAATATATATATTTGTTTTCCTCCTGGTAATCTGTCTGATGTCAATTTAATTCTTAGATTAGCCAAAGAACTTAGAGGGGAAGAAAGATAAAGTTTTCCTTCCCTACAGCAGTTATTTGTGCTAATTGACCACTAATAGGTATGGGAAATGATACCAGGATTATCTGATCATTTACAAGTAAGATATCTTTATAATGAATTAGGTTATATTTAAACAGATAAACACCAACAAAATAAATCAACAACTCCCTAACAATCACATTCCACTCTTGCCTACTACAAAGGTCTTCAGAAACAGAAAATCTATTTAGTTATCCATTAGACAGAAAACAACATAAAGTTTCTGTTTAGTTTGTGTTCATTTTTCAAATAATAATTAGAAAATTAAGGAGTAAAGAGAGAACAGCCTTTGAACAAACATATCTTGAAAGAGTTTAAGGAACACTAAGAGAGACAGAAATCTAAGTGAGTCAAAGTGACTTTCTTTCACCTTATAAAGGCCTATGGAAAGGGAAACTATTTTGTTCTAGACTACTCCAGATGGCTTTATCTAGAATCCACAGGTAGAAGTTACTGAAGGTACACTTCAGCCTCACAAAAGAAAGAGAAGCCTAGCATGAAAAGGTATCCAAAAATGGAATGAGAGAAAATCAGTGAAGCACGAATGATGGCTTCCAAGCTTCTGATCAGAGGTCTGCAAACCACAGCTTCTAGGCTAAGTACTGCTTGCTGCCATCTGTTTCTGTGCAGCCTGAGAGCTAAAAATAAATCTCACATTTTAAATGGTTGAAAAATAAGTAAAAATAATAGCAATATTAAATTACATGTGAAAATTATATAAAATTCAAATGTAGTGTCCACATAAAATTTCCTGGAATACAGTCAAACTCATTTGTTTATACATTGTCTGTTCTACAGAGTCAAAAACAGTTGCAACAGAAACTGTATAGCCCACAAAGCCTATACTATTTACTATGTCGTCCTTTACAGGAAAAGCATAAACTAGTGATTGGTTTACATTATTAAACAGAAACACCATTTTAAAGGAAAAAATTAAGGTTTCTTGGGGCTTGAAGATAGTCACATATATGTAGTATTAACTAACACTGTACTAGTAAATATCATTACAAATAATCATCCCTCAGGTATATTTTTTCAGGATTTTCAAATTTTAACTTAGTAACATTTATTGAGCACATTTTATTTCAATGGAGGAAAACAGCTCTAAAGTAATTAATACTAAATAATTTTCAAATTATGAAATGTATAATACATACAAATACATATTTTTTTTGTACTGAAATTACTATGTAAACATACAGTCTTATTCTAAAAGTAAAGTCAGTTAGCTGTCAGACAAGTAGTAGTGTTTACTGAAACAATTCCTTCTCCAGTACCGGGTTCTCCCACAAAACTGATTCATGGAAGACTGTACCGTCACCATAACATACTCTGTTAAATTATAAAACTGGGGTTAGTGTTAATTAGCCATAGAAGTGTATGGTTTTGATTTTGGTTGTTATTTTTGCCTTTACAATGTGATGAACACTGCTTTGAAATGCAGTTTTGGGGCATGGGTCCCGAGGACAGTAATGTTACAAATGTTTAATCCTAAATAGTCACACATTCAGAGGAAGTCACTTATAAGCTGTCTTCAGTGACAGGGCTTTCTGTTCTAACCGGTAGACCAGAAAGCCTTCCTAAAAATTCTAATGAAAACTTCTTCATCATAAAGTTAATTTTTAAAGGGAAAATCACCAGCTTAATTGTTCATGACAAAAAGGTCTATTATTCCATCAGATTAAAATAAAAAGGTTACTTTATTTTTTCAAGAAACTTAATTACTAAAGAAAGTGGACCTCATATAAAAGCAGCCTTGTTGATAACAGCCACTGCTGCATCTGAGCTTAAGGTGTGATTTCTATTCATTTTAATTCCAATTATTATTTTGAACTGTTAATGTTAATCATCAAGAGGGTTTTTTAATAACATGTGGATAAAGAAAAATTTTAAGAAGTGACATTTTCTTTTGAGAAATTAGGTCATCCTTGCCCCACTGAAGAATGAACTTCATTATATTCGGGGCCCATTCCTATCACAGATTGCTGAGGCATACCTCTTGACGATTAACATTAACAGTTCCAAACAATATTTCACAGAAAAGGATTTTTTTGAATTACTTTCCCCAATAAATAGGTGAGAGAACTGAATCTAATAACGTTTAGGCATCCCGTATGTGGTAAATGTCAGAACTGAGAACTGGAACTCAGCTATATCTAGTTCTGGAGGCTGAGTTCTTATAAACAGCAAACAAAGAAAAACCAACAACAATGAAACATGGTATATAGACTCTGTGCATCTGTGATCAGAGTTCTCTTATACCAATGAAACATGGTATATAGACTCTGTGCATCTGTGATCAGAGTGCTCTTATACCCCACACACACACACACACACACACACACACACACACACACACACACACTTCCATCTGCCACCACATCTAGAGGGAGTTTCTGGAGTACCCTTGTCTCATACAGCATCAGGGTTGTAAATAAACTAAGACACCAATCTGGTTTCATCTGCCAACTTTCAGCACTTGCGTCATCAGATTTTTGTTGTAATGTAAGATCCCACTACTACATGTCTTTTAGTATTTTCTTACATTGATGTTTTTCCCCTAAAATTGTAATTTGAATGGAAATTTTATAAGTTTGAGAAGCAAATTCTAGCATTATTTCCCTAAGGCATATTAAAGTAAGCCCAGGAGCATTCATCTAAATCATCTCCATACTTTGTGAAACTCAGCAAAGAGAACTCTGTGTTCACTCCTTTCATTTTATCACGAGTGGATCAATCAATGATCTTGAACACGCTATCATCTGTCAGTTCGTAGAGTTGAGATCCTAATCTAGGCCTTTTGCATTCAAACAGTAGCTCTTCCCACTCAGAACACAGCCATTAAATTTTATGGTGCGAAAAAAGATGCCATAGTTTCAGCATAATTTCCCTCCTCTTGTGTCCCTTCCCTTCAGTGAAAGGGAGGCCTGAACAACTTTGTATGAAACACGGACCTACTGTGTTTTGCCTTTACCACTTCCTGGGCCACCTGCCACTTGGGAAGTAGTACAGAGTTAGTTTTGCTTCAGAGAAACTATATGGAATTAGCCTCTTTGAGGCATTTTAAAAAATTAACAATACTCTTTAGTAATTTTTAATTCATATGAAACAGAACATTAACAAAATTTAAGAGCTTTTGGAATTCAATATATAAAATTCACTCAGAACCGTGCAGTTGATAAGATATACACTTACAATACCAATACAGTATTAAGAAAAAAAATGTATCATCATCCCAAGTTTTATTAGAAATTTGTGAGTTGTAAACAACAAAGAACACATCACCAAATAGGATTAAGGCATCACTTCTCATTTGCTATTAAAGAGATGGTATCCCTTCACTCAATATTCTGGAGCAATGAATGTCCCAGGGAATAGAAAGACTCACCAGGGACCCATAATCCCAGACACAGTGGGGTCTTGGTGGCTGGAGAGTGACTCAGGACCAGACCAAAAAAGGATGCTAGTTACTGATACTTAAAAGAGACCCACGTCTCATACGGCTAACATTTCCTAAGAGTCTGGTATGTGCCTGGCACTACCTAACTCTGTATGTGTCTATCTACTGCCTTTTCTCAATAACGAGCATCAAGATGGCAGAAGGGCAGGAAAATAGTGTGGCAGCTAAGAGGACTGACCCAGGAGCCAGGTTGCCTGTGTTTGCTCTGGCCCTTGCCAACCTGGACAATTTACTTAACCTCTCTGTGCCTCAGGCTTCTCCTCTCTAAAGTCAAATAGTAGTATCCACTTTGTAGACTGGTTTTAAGGAGTAGATGAATTAGGGTTTGCATAGCATTAGAACAGTGGCTAGCAGCTAGGAAACAGCTTAT